CTATAGATAATGTGGTCAGAGAGAGAGAGAGTTTTTTGATAAAAGGGGCTTGGTGCCCCTCCAATTGTAACATCTATTTTACATTATCATTACAGCCATCATGAGAGAAGATCTGTTCCAGGAAGGAGCCACCATGTCACATTCTTTAGGCAGTTAGTGGGGGTCTTTAGGCATAGTTAGGTCAAATGTCCCTCAGAGAAAACAATCAAGGTAAAGAGATATATTTCAGGGTGGCCAAATCTTGATCTCCCACACTAGTTTATGCTCAGCAAAGACACTCCCTTGCCCCCTTTTTGTTGGAAGTTCAGCTTGTACCATATATAGCTCTCCTCATTCTACTGTAAGAGTAGTCCACCTAGCTTAAATCTTTGTCATGAATGTCTCCCAACTCTTAGAGACACATGTTAAGTTTTCCTAAAAATCCTTTGTACCTTTGCTTCAGTAGCAGTATGGGGTGGGCCTATAAATTTGGCAGGTCAGCAAGCATCAGCCTGTGGAGTAAGCACCCCTTAATCTCTCCAAGAGATTCTCTTGCCACCTGCTTCCCTGGGGATGAGAAGAAGCATGACCCCTAGCCCTGCCTCCTTTCAAGGAGAATAAGTGCATTGCATTCCCAACTGGGATGAAAACTCTCTCAAAAGAAAGCCCTCTCTTCCCACAGTCTCTGGCCTTTTATGTAGATTGGCCATAGGCAGTAGCCTGGGTTGCAGAACCGGTTTTGCTACCTGTTAGCAAGTCTTATGGGGATGTCTGGTGTCTCTTCTTAGAATATGGGTGTACTTATCCATTGTTCTCAGATCTGGGCTTTGACACAAGAGTAACAACCCTGTTTTTTACATTTTAGTATACATAGTTCCTTAGTAGGAGCATTTTCCCCCTCTGATCATGTAATCTGGGGCTAATCAAAGAAAATACCAAGTTTTTAGATTTACCACCTCCTATGTGGTAGAAACTAAACTGAGTCATAAAATCTTGAGTTCATTTTGGCTCATTGAATAACTATATCATATAAATAACTGTATAGTTTCTAGGACCTCGGTTGCCTTAGCTATAAAAGGGATTTAGATGAGCCCTTTCAGGTCTAAGTTCCTGTGATAATTTTATCTCTCAAAAATCTAGATGTACAGAAGGCAGTAGCAGAATTCATAAAAAGTTAAATGATAGCCTTCTGGGAATAAATATTTTTTATTTATTATTTATTTTTTATTTATTAATATGACAAACAATATTAATGAGATAGAAACTGTTAAGAAGGACTTGAGCATCCTTTTGGTAAAATATCTAAGGACATGAACAGAGAATTAACAAAAGAAAAAAATGAAAATTGCCAGTAAACATAGAAAACTATTCACCATGACTAGAATCAAAGCACATGCAAATTAAATCAAAAGACATCATTTTATCATAGTAGCAAATATTTTTTAAATATTAATTCTAGTAGCCAGTGTGGGTAAAGATGTGGGAAAATAAGCACTCTTGTATACTTCCTGTTGACACAAATAATCCATAACCAATCTATAAATCAAAATTGAGGTGAGTTTATTATGAGCCAACCCTGAGGACCATATAGCCCAGGAGAGTCCTTTCACAAAGGAAGGGAGCACTCCAAAGAAGTGGGGTGTACAGAGTGGTTATGTACCGCCAAAGAGCATGCATCACATGTAATAGGAATGTCCCTTTTACGATAGTCATAAGATTGCTTTGCCAGCACAGCAGTTCGGTGAACACAGCAGATCCCGGTGGTCTCAAGGTGGGCAGTCACGGGGTCAGCACAGCAGGTCAGTAGTTAATCCTAAATTTGGGGAGAGATGCTTATCCTTAAGGCAATGCCAATGTGTGGGAATCCTTATCTTTAAGGGCATTGTTCTTGTCTGTGGGACCTAGTAAATATTTAAAGCAGATATACAATGCATGCTCAACAGGCCACCTCAGGCCCTTTTGGAAAAACAAGATCAGGCCAAATTAGTTTTAACCCAAATGGCTTCTTCATATACTCCAATATATCCTATTGCTTGTCATTTATTTATTATTCCAGTGGTAGTATAAATTGGTATTAATCTTTCTGATGGGAAGTCTAAAAATTATGATGCAGATCTTATTTATTTATGTGGAATCATGCCTATAATATATTTTTAAGTGAAAACTGTATGTGTAAGCTTGTTGAGGGAGAAGTAAAGATGCCCTCATATATTTACTTGTGTATATGTTTGTGTACTAAAGAAAACTGGATTGCTAGACAATAACATTTTAATAGTGATTATTTCTAATTGGTGCTTTTATGGGTGATTTTTCTCTCTTCCTTATACCTTAGTATATAGACTAAATTTTTGTGGTGAGTATTACTTTTATTAGTTTTAATTTTTAAATAGAAAAATGTACATATTGCTAAAAACTCAGTTTATTTAAGGTTATACATTGAAAAGTAAGTCTCCTTTTCATCTCATTCTCTCCAGTCTCCCGTTTTTCTTCCCCAAGGCTACCACTGTTTATATGTCCTTCCAGAGACATTCTATTTCTATGCTGATGCAAACTTTTTTTTTTTTAAACACAAATGATAGCATAGCATACAGGGGTTTTTAGCCCTTACTTTATAAGCCATGTGAGTACTCACAGAGCTGCCTCATTCTTTGGAAGCAGAAATAAATATCCTTATACATACTTATTTATGCATTATGCAAGTATATCACTGAGATAAATTCCTAGAAGTGACATTACTAGGTCAAAAGAGAGGTGCATTTAAAACTGTTCAATATATATAGTATATGACTGTTAGAAGTAAGGAAAAATCACAACTCTTATTTCTCTCTCTCACACCCTCTATCCAATCCATCAGCAAATGCTGTTGACTCGGCCTTCAAAATATATTCAGAATCTGACCACTTCTTACCACCTTTGCTTCTACTACCACTCTGGTTCAAGCCACCTTCTTTCATCAAGATTATATTTCAGCAACCGCCTGCTGGTGTCCCTACTTCAAATCTTGCCCCTTCACACATAGGAACCAGAGAAATCCTTTCAAAATATGGATTATATCAGCCCTCTGCTCCAAACCCTATCAGAGCAGAAGCCAGAGTCCCCACCGTGTCTTACAAGGCATGATCAGCACCTCCCATCCTCCCCAGCAGTCTCTCTGACCTCCTGGGCGATCACTTGTGCTTGTTCACTCCACTGGAGCGGCACTGGCCTCACTGCTGATTCTAGTCACGCCAAGAGTGCTTCCACTTCAGGGCCTGTTGCACTTGCAGTTCCTTTTGCCTGAAATGTCATGACTCCCTCCCTCAGTGCCTGCAGGTCCTTCTCAACTCTTCCCTTGTTGGAGGCCACCCTGTGTTTTAAATAATCATCTTCCACCCTCTCCAGAACCTTGTACTCCTTTTCTCCTGCTTTATTTATTATACTCCATTGCACTTAACACCGCCTAACATTTTATGTTGTCCAGCCACTAGCCACTTGTGGCTATTGACCACTTGAAATGTTGTTAGTCTAATCAAGGAACTAAATTTTTAATTGTATTTAACTTCAAATTTAAATCTAAAAACTGATACTCAATTCAGTTCCTGGAAAACTTTTAAGTATATTTGAACAACTTGAGTATGTGAATCTACTTTTTCAACTGTACATTTTATGAAATCTAAATTCAGATCAAGTATTTCTGAGGAAAATTTAGCATCCAAATTGAGATGTGCTATACGTATAAAATATACACTGGATTTCAAATTCTTAGAAAAAGAAATGTAATAATCTCTCAGTAGTTTGTTAACATTGGGTACATGTTGAAATGATAATATTTTGGATATATTGGGCTCAATAAAATATATTATTAAAAATAATTTCACCTGTTAACTCTTTACTTTAACGTAGCTACTAGAGAATTTTGTGTGTGGCTCCTGTTATATTTGTTGGCCAGTGTTGCTCTGTCTACTTGTGGAGTTGTTTATTGTGTATCTCTGTACTAGAAGGTAAGCTCCATGAGGGCAGCGGTTTAGTCTGTTCTGATCTATGCCCAATCAGTAGATATCTAATACATTTCCTAGAATAAATGAATAAATTTGAATAAATTTCCATTTTTTAAAAGAGCTATTATGAGTAACACTTAAAAGGAAAACAAAATTTACATGCATGTCTTAGAACCTAAACAAAAAGTTATTAATATATATAGAATGCTTATAAATAAATAAGACCCAAATTAAAAAGGGCAAAAGATATGAATAGGCACAAGTAGAAATCCAAATGGCTAATAAATATATGAACAAAATTTCAACTTCATTCCAATTTTCAATAAATCCAAATTAGAATAAGTTATTCTGTGCTTATGAAATTTAACAAAGATAACAGAAAAATGATACATACTTCTCTGGAAGACAGTATTGTAGTCTAATAATCAACTTTAAATTATTTATATTCTTTGACCTAGTTTTTCCATATCTAGGAATTTATTTTTAAGGATATAATCACAGATATATAAGAAGATTTGTCTATAATGTGCATTGCAGCTTAGTTTGTAATACCAAAATTGAAATCAAACATAGCATTCAGGTTAGAGTAATCCAGAGAGGGAGGGGTTCATGATAGCAGCTTTAATAGGAAAATACTTGAAAATTCTGTTTTGGTCAAAAAGTCTGTCTAATAAACCAAATTTTTATTTTCAGATAATGTGTTAGGAACCGAATGTGTTAGGAACCGTATGTATACTAAGTAAAATTTATTAAAAATATCTATAATCCTAATGTATTTTATTTTTTAAATTCCTACTTTGCAATTTAGCTACATCTTATAACCCTGTCTTATGATAGATTTGAAGCTTAAACTGAAAAAGTGATTTGTTCAAAATCTTACAACTGGGAAATACTGACAGATTTATAGTTTTCATTTCTAGTACATTAACCATAGGTCATTATAACATCTGAACTTTCTCCAAAATAAAAATGGGAAACTATTTTGTGGAAATAATTTTTTATAAATGTGTATTTAATACTTGTTTCATCTTTCTTACCTTTCAGAATTACCATGAAATTATGACTCATCATCCTGAGAATTATCAGTGGGAAAACTGGAGTCTAGAAAACGTTGCCACCATTTTAGCCCACCGATTCCCCAATAGTTATATTTGGGTGATAAAGTGTTCCCGAATGCATTTGCACAAATTCAGCTGCTATGACAATTTTGTGAAAAGCAATATGTTTGGTGCTCCAGAACACAATACTGACTTTGGAGCTTTTAAGCACCTTTATGCATTATTAGTTAATGCTTTTAACTTAAGTCAGAACACTTTGCTATCAAAGAAGAATGTGAAAGATTTGAATAAGGACTCCAAAGCATCTAATTGTAGATCCAGTTCTTCTCATACTACTAATGGTTGCCAGGGAGAAAAAGAGAGGACCTGTGAAAAATTTGATGAGTCTGCCTTGAATTTTTATCCACCATCACTAAATGGTGCATCTTTTACTTTGATTGGATTCAGTAAAGGTTGTGTTGTTTTGAATCAGTTGCTTTTTGAATTGAAAGAAGCCAAGAAAGACAAGAACATAGATGCTTTTATCAAAAGCATAAGAACAATGTACTGGCTGGATGGTGGTCATTCTGGAGGAAGCAATACTTGGATTACTTATCCAGAAGTCTTGAAAGAATTTGCACAAACAGGGATTATTGTTCACACCCATGTAACACCTTACCAAGTACGTGATTCAATGAGATCTTGGATTGGAAAGGAGCACAAGAAATTTGTTCAGATACTTGGAGATTTTGGTATGCAGGTAACTAGCCAAATTCATTTTGCAAAGGAAGCTCCTTCCATAGAGAATCACTTCAGGGTTCATGAAGTATTTTGAAACTACAAGAATATTAATGTACTTGTTGGAAGAGCATAAGCACTTTGAGTGTTATAAATTCAGATAGAGACATAATTCATAGATGCATTGTGTTTTTTTTGGGGGGGAGCACACATTCCTAAAATATGAGTGTAATGTGCAATAGTATTTCTTGCTTGTGAATGTGAACAGCTTTTAATTTGGAATGGGTTAGAATTAGTTCATTTTAAATCTAAAAGGTGGTTTGTGATAATCCTATGAGGAGATATAAGACCCTTAAGAATGAAGGTTATGATATAGTCCTTATAAAAGGTAATTAAAATTATTGTTAGAAATCGTTTATTTTCTGAGTAATGTTTGAAACTAATTTTGGTGACACTATAACAGTAATTAGCTATTTTGGCACTCAAAACTTTTGAGTGGAAATACTCCCTTTCTCTTCAAACAAAGCAAAGTCACACTGATGTTTTCCATCATTTTGGAATAAGTCTACCTTGCGTTTTCTGTTTTGTAAATTCATGGAGTCATTCTTTAATATGCCACCAAGTGTTTTTTCTTGAGAATCAAAATATATTTGTTTCCAAATATCCAAGAACATGCAGTAGCATAAAGTTGATTTTTAAAAACATTACACTTAAGCACTGGGGCTTACTTTTTAATTGACAACTTTTAGAAAAGACATTTTGGAGTTTCTTGAATCTTGGCCAAAAACCAGTTCTTTTGGAAAATTGTTTTAAATTGAACATAATTATGTATATTGGATAAAAATACACATGTATACTGGATAAAAGTATATTACAGATTTAAAATCTTTTCATCATATCAGGTTTTTTTGAGAGAGATCAGCTTAGGTAAAATAAATATATAATACTCTATTTGTTAGTGCTCTACTGAAAAGGAGACAGATTCTATAGATGTAAAGCAGTGTTTCTCCAGAAGCATGATTTTCTCTGCCAAAAGAAAGCAGCTCTCTTTGGCCAAAATGCAAAATTATATTGCTATAAGAAAAGTTACAAGGGAAAGTTTGAAGACACAAATGATTTAATTTTGGCTTAAAAACTGAATTTGCTTAACACTGCTACATAATTTGGGTGAGGTTCCCTTCTGCCCGTTTTTCTTGACCTAGATTAAATACATTTTGAGAAACCAAGATCTAATGAATGTCAGCCTACATTGAAACATAGCTGTATGATTACAGTAAAAGGTGAGTGGCCATTTTTTTATTGTTTATTAATAATTAGCTTTTGCAAGTCATGAAATAATTTAGGGAAGTAACATGCTGCTTTCAGACTGAAAAAAAAACAAAGACACTGAAGCATTATCTTAATCCAGAGGACCTAAATTTATAAAACAATGTTGAATTAAAATGTTAATTTCTTGGCTTCTTCCCAGAATTATATATATATATATTTTTTTTTTTTTATTTTGT